TTCGGGATTCCAATAAATGTACCACTTCTTCCTTCACTGCCTCCTGATGTTGAGGCAACGACCTCCTTAGTTTTTGACTAATTGGCTTGAAGCTCGGGTCGACGTTTAATTGATGACATGCTACTTTGAATGGCACGCCAGGCATATCAACAGTGGTCCATGTGAAAACGTCGGCATATTCTTGTAAAAGAGTGATGAGCTTGATTTTCTGCTCGGGGCTCAGGGCAGTCCCTAACAAAAAGTATTTTTCGAGCTCCCCATCCTTGTCTAAAGGTACTTTAGTCAAGTCTTCAATTGTTCGGTTCGTAACTTCCTTTTTAGCGCCTAAAGGTACTTTAGGGCCTTCCTCGATAGCTTGATCAATTAGTTTAACTGAGCTGTAAAAGGTTAATTGCTATTTCGCCTCCTCGGACATTGAATCCTTCTCGCGAGCCTGAACCCCTCCTTTGGGTTTGACCGAGGTTAACAAACAAGTTCTGGCACTGACCTAGTCTCCTCGGGTATTGACAATTCCTTCAGCTGAAGGGAATCTCAGTATCTGGTGATAGTTTGAGGGTACCGCCTTCATTGTGTGCAGCCAGAACTGCCCCATTATCGCGTTATACGCCGAGATCATATCCACTACCAGGAACTCGGTCATGATGCAAACTGGTCCTGTGTTTTGCAAGCAATGTGATCTTCCCCCTAGGAAGAACTATTTTTCCACTAAAGCCTATAAGTGGAGTATTTGAAGGCTTAAGATCCTCCTTCTTAAGTCCAAGTTTCTCAAATAGATCCGAATACATGATCTTTGACGAACTCCCCGGATCATTCAGTACCATTTTTACATCAAAATTCACAATCAGAAGCGTAACAACTAGGGCGTCATTGTGCGGTTGGTGCACTCCGACCAAATCTTGCTCGGTGAAATAGATTGCTTCGACTGACTCCTCTATCTTCATTCTTTTGTTGGTCACCTCCGGGGTCAATCGCAACTCATACACTTTTCTCTCAGTGGCAGCTTTTTGGATATAAACCCGAGCAAAATTATTTGTGGACATCTGCGGGTTAATGGCTGCATGAATAACATCAATCACTCCTGCTAGAGTGTTATGGTCCACATTTGGCTCGGTCCTCCCTCCATCGGATTTTTGTTTACCTTCTATAAACTCGGCGAGATGTCCAGTCTGGACCAACTTCTCCAAATGTTACTTTAGAGATCGGCAGTTCTCAGTCATGTGACCCACATTCCTGTGATATGAACACCTAAAATTTGGATTTCTTTTAGAAGGATCTCCTATTAACTTGTTCAGCCATTTGAAAAACAGCTTTGTCTTAATCTGGCTTAGTATCTTATATATTGGTTCCTTGAACAATGTATTTACTCCCCAGAAATGGGGACTTCTGAGGATATCCACCATTCTCATTCTTCCTTCCTCCCTCTCTGTTCGGCTCGGTCTGCTTGTCTCTACCGAACTGTCTCTTGCTCGGATGTTCTTTAACCTTATCTCTAGATAAGTCGTCATCCAATTTGGCATACTTTTCAGTCCTAGACATCAGCTTTTCCAGATTGGTGTCTAGCCTTCTTGTGAGAAACTGATATAGGGGGTTTTCCTTTGGCAACCTGATCTTGAAGGATGCAACTGCAATCTCTAGATTGTACCTTTCCACCTCGTTTATTGTTTCCCAATAACAACGAGCATACTCTCGCAGGCTTTTGTTATTCTTCTTCTTTAGCGTCAGTAGTGCTCCAACATCCTTCGGCTACTTGCTGCTCGTTATGAACCGAGCTGTGAACTGTTCAGCTAACTGAGACCACCCATTGATCGTTCCCTTTGGTAGGCTGTCAAACCACTTCATGGCTGACTCCCTAAGACTGCTAGGGAAGATAGTACAGAGTAGGGGCTCATTTTTTTGATGAATGGTCATCAACTGTCTGTAATGCCTGATGTGCGAGGCTGGGTCTGTCTTCCGTCGTATAGTCTGAAGTTCTGGACGATGAATTTGCTCGGAATCTGTCCTTTGTCAATCCAAACTGTAAGTGGAGATGACTCTGAATCGTCTCCATATTCTCCTGTCGCTCTTCTGCCCAGATCCCTAGCTGACCTCTATTCTAGTCTCCTTAAGCAGTTGTTGAGTTCCTCAGTAATGTATTGTTCCCATGCAACCTCCTCATGAACCCGAGGTTTCTTCTGCTGGTGACGATCTTCATTGTTGCTTTTGTATCTATCGGGTTTCCTCTTAGAACTTTCCCAATGGCTTTCCCTCACACGTTTCTCTTTCCTGGTCATTTCTTTTATCCTGGCTTTAAGTTCTTTGTTTTCTTTGATCAGATCTCTTTTCCAAGCGTAAGACTTCTTGAACAACTTGTCATGAGCATCAAGTCTGTCCTGTAGGGACTGAACCAACTTCACCGGGGAGTGATTTTTCCTCTCGGCACGAAGGGATTCACCATGATCTTCAATTTGATGGTTCTGAGTCTTCGAGGGTTTGAAACTGGCAGAGGACATCTCTTCACCTTCATGGGATTTGGAAGGGCTTCCTTTTGCCTGAAACTGCGCGTTGCTACTAGGTGGGATGGATGCAGGATCAGAGTCTCCCAACGCAAAACTGCCTATCGGTGATCCAATTGCGCTTTTGAGTTTAGAAATTGTGGCTTCTTGTTGCAAAAGATGAAAATCTTCCCATAGATGGTGCCAAATGTAGGAGGCAAAAAATCGAGATTACCTCCTACTGGAATTGAAATGTTAGTATGTTTCTGAACTTGATCCCCAGTCTTCCTCTTCCTGCAAAATGAACAAACTGCCCAAGATCGAAGTGCTTCGATCGAAAGCACTCTGATACTTAAGTCAGTAGAGGTGATGAAACGAATGGAAGAAGACCAAGAGATTTCAACATACCTTTCTTCTTAGCACTTTTTTCCTTTTATAGATGGTCATCCCCTTAGGGTTTCCGTGATTCTTGATTCAAGGTAGCACACCTTTTTCCAATTCAGTTATTCGATTTGGGAAGTTACTGATATTTCTCCATTATTTTCTCTTGATATCTTCAATTTCTCTGATTCTCTTATCTGATTGCCTAAGTTATAGGCGAATTTTTATCCCTCTGTTTATTATTTAAAACAGCTCGGACATATCAAATGCTGAGCACACTTGATATTTGCCGAACAGATTAAGGGTCTTGTTTTGGCACAAGCCGAGCTCTTTCCTTGCTTAGCTGAACTGATGAGTTCGGTCATAAAGAGAATCGAACGTTTTCTCCTATTGCCGAACCTCTAATTAGCTCGGCTTGGTTAAAAAGCTTAATAAAGGATTCTTTTATCATGTGTCTTGTCTTGTCTTGTCAACATCATGTGAAAACATTTAATGCTATGTCACGTGTAATCATGAGATTTAACCCCTTCAACACCTACATGGGACCCACCGATTCATCAAAATGGTCGACCTATTTTTCTTTCCTAGCCTAGCAAAGATTCTAGGCTAGTGATCCCTACCAAAACCCCAAGCCTTTTCATGTTTGGTTTGGCGTACTTTGAGTTTGAATAGAATTGATTTTTGTTGGCATGGGAATGATCAAAATTTCATTTCATTTTGTTTGTTTCAATTGATATGGTATGGTTTAGTGGAAATCAAACTGGAACAATGGTGGAAATCAAAATTCTCATATTTTCGGAATATTTCGAGATGTTTTGTAATGTTTTTGAATGTTTTGAAATCAGAATTTCATTTTTTCTCTCTATTCCCATTCTATTTCCGAATCATTTTCGAAAAGTTCTCAAAATGTTTCTATTGTTGCGTTGATTGTATTCATCTAAATGAAATTCTGATCCAAGGTGTGGTTTTTTTTTTCTCAAGCTAGTTAGATCTTGTGCCTTGTGCTGAATGAAGGTAGTTTAGAGAGCAGTGTTTAAAATTTTTTGGCCATATTTGGTTAGCATCTGCAAAACAGTTTCCTGTTCTCAAAATTTTAAAAACTCCAAAAACCTGTTTATTTAGCATTTTTGTTCTATAAATTTTGGGAAAAAAAAAAGGAGATTTGAGTCAAAGAAACAGAAAACAAGTATAGCTTGTTTTCAGAGTTTTCTTTGAAAGTTTTAAAAACAAGGAGAACAATATATATATATATATTTTTAAAGTTTGGTTTATTGATTTTTTTTTATGAAATTGTCAATCTAAAATTAAATTTTTTATATTTTTTTATTAATGTTTGAATTACTGTTCAAGTATATATTTAGGCTGTCCAAATAGGTTTTACTATTTTCTATATTGTAAAATTATTTTTTTTATTATCTAATTAAACAAGTTTTTTATTTAAAAAAAAATCAAAATCACTTTTTTAAAACTCTTCTCAAAAACTGTTTTCGGATACTATTTTTTGAAATGCAAACCAAACAGGCCTTTGTTTTTGACTTTGTCAAGTTTGGTTTGGGCGTTTATTCTGTCACTAGAATCTAATAGGATCATCAATTGCTTGTAGCCTTGTTTAATAGACCTTGTTTAAGTGACACTCCATAATCTTCAAAATAGAAGCACCTAAAATATTTCAAACAACGGTTCAAATTCTTAACTAATTAAATGTGGTGAAGCACAAAAACTAACTTCGTTTTCTGAAGACATTCTTTCTATTCTATGATATCTTGATCTTGCAATGCTACAACTTATGAGGTTCTCTTGTCAAAACACCAACACTAGAAGGGATGTGAGGTTACACAATCTAGAGATTTGAAATCTTTTAACCCCCTAATTATACTATCAAGTGTCAACCATTTGAAACTTTAGCTTGAGAAAATGGGCAGATTTTTTGAGGTTAAATAAGTTTGTGAATACCCAACTATAACACATAATGAGTATGTTTTGATTCAAAAATTGATTTTTTCACCATTCGTGATGCAAGTTTGAGTCTTGGTTCAAACTTCCACACAACTTTCATCATCTTTTTTTTTTTTTTGTGTAGTATCCCATGTGGTTCTAGAAAATTTATGCTCTAGTGTATAATTTTGAACTGATAATTTCCCTCCTCAGGGGATAAATTCAGTGATGTGGTTGGCAGCCCGTATTATGTTGCACCAGAAATTCTAAGGAAGCGCTATGGTCCTGAAGCAGATGTATGGAGTGCTGGAGTAATCGTGTACATTTTATTAAGTGGAGTACCTCCTTTCTGGGCTGGTGAGAATTTGGGAATTCTTTAATTATTAGAAACGACATCACTCTCACTGATTGTAATTGTTTTCCCCTTCTTTCTTACTTTTTTTTCCCATTAACTTTTTGTGATCAAATAGAAAGCGAGAAAGGAATATTTGAACAAGTTCTGCGTGGTGATCTTGATTTCTCCTCAGATCCTTGGCCAAGTATTTCAGAAGGTGCAAAAGACTTGGTGAGGAGAATGCTTGTCCGAGACCCCAAAAGGCGACTAACTGCCCATGAAGTTTTGTGTAAGTCTTTATTTTGGATAGATTTACATGTTGTGACATGTGACTTCTTGTCCCTCATATAATCATTTTTCTATATTAATAAAATATTTGCTGCTGATCATAAAAAAAAGATCATTGGATTCTAGTTGAGAAGTCAGTTTGAGTAATATTTGTACTGCTTTCATTGCATTGAAATGCATAGGTTGTATTGGGTGTTTAAGGACTTAGGGCTCTCTTACGCATCAAAAAAAAAAAAAAAAAAGGAAGTGCTAGAAACTTGAAAAAAACCTTCTCACTATTGCCACTTGAGCTTTCATGGCCACATCCCTTGTTTCTTGTTTCTTGTAATATCTATATAATAAAGTAGAACGAATTTGAATTTTGGATGCAAAGAATGGTTAAGATCGTTTCGTGACAAAAAAAAAACATCATCTAACGGACGATGTTATCCCAAACTATCTCGAGCTATTAACGTGTCAGATCGTTTTGATCAGATGTACTACATTAATTCTTTTAAAATATTTTTACTACTCAAAATTTATAGTTTTCAAATTTGATATTCCAAAATTTAATTCTCTCAAATCGTTTCCTTAAATCGAGCAAATCTCTCTCTCTCCCATCCCACAATATTTTCCTCTGTATCTCACGAAAATATTAGATAGTGTCTGATTCAAGAAAATACTACATCTCTCTGTAGATAAATAATATATATCACACAGACAGATAGTATATTACGAAAATATTCCTCAGTATTTCTCTTTGAAGGAAAATTATTTAATAAATATTAGATATATAGTATATATCACGAAAATATTCATTTGTATCTTTTTCTTTCATTCAAGTAATACTACAAACACGAATCAACAAATTTCAATAGTCAATTTTATTTTTCTATAATAAATAAAAAAAGCATAATTGGCAAAAAATCTAATTTAACAAAGAAAATATGTTTAACATGCAAAATATACAAGATTAAATTCAAATTATTGGGCAACTCAGATATCAAAGGATATATTATAAAAAATATGCTTAACATTTAAAATATAAAAAATTAAATTCATATACAAACATGAATTATACAAATTCAATCTTTAGTGAGCAACATAAAACAACAATATTTATTAAATAATTCAAATCTAAATACCCTAAAAAAATGATACAAAATTACAAGTAAGAAAAACGATACAAAATTATAAGTAATATTATGAAAAAAAATCATACAAATTCAATATTTAGTGAACAACACGAAATATTAATCTTTACTAAATAATTCAATACTAAATAACGTTTAGTTTAAGGAAATATAATAAGAATATAAATAACCGAGAAGAATGATATAAAATTAAAAGCATTACTATAAACTCGAATTATACAAATTCAATAGTCAATTTTATTTTTTTCATAATCAATAAAAAAAAGCATAACTTGTAAAAAATATAATTTAACAAAAAAAATATGATTAACATGTAAAATATACAAGATTAAATTCAAATTATTGGGCAACTTAGATATCAAGAGATATATTAAAGAAAATATGCTTAACATTTAAAATATACAAGATTAAATTTATGTACAAACACGAATCATACAAATTTAATATTTAATGAACAACAAAACAATAATATTTACTAAATAATCCAAATTTAAATACCAAAAAAAAAATGATACAAAATTACAAGTGAGATTAACGATACAAAATTATAAACAATAGTACGAACATGAGTTATACAAATTCAGTATTTAGTGAATAACAAGAAACAACAATTGTTACTAAATAATTCAATACTAAATAATGTTTAGTGTAATAAAATATACTAAAAATATAAATAACCAAGAAGAATGATATAAAATTAAAAACACTACTATAAATTTGAATCATACAAATTCAATAGTCAGGTTGTATCTTTTGGAAGTCGGTTGAATTTCTGATAGTTATATTTGATCATTTGACAACATCTATAAACTTAGTTTTTTTTGTTTGGGTAAATAAACCAAGAAGATATATTGAGTATGCAAATGTACATAGCAACACAATCCCAAAGGAGAACAAAATAAAAACAGAGACACAAGGACAAGACTGCAATAACCTACAACCAGTCCAATAAAAACAGGCAGAGGAAGTCTGGGGGGGTTGCATTTTGCACTCCCCACAGATTACAAAGCCAGTAAACAACAAACCGAATTTCCATCTGGTGCAAAAAACAAGAGCCTGGAAGTTGCCAAGAAGAAGTAGCTTGTCTATGAAGATGGGTGTCCTTGATTTTGATTGAAAGAAGCCTACTTCTCACCATATTCAAAATCATCATCTGGGTAGTACCTGGATCATTGTGCTCATTGGTGAAAATTCTATGATTTCTTTCTCCCCAAATAATATAAACAGTGACAACAAGGCATAATTTCCTAATGGAATTTCTGAAGATGTTTGTCTTTCCATTGGGTGGACATAGCCTCAATGAGACTTTGCCAAGAAGAAGATTGCCATGACCAATCACACTTACTGATGACATTCCTCCAAACTCTTTTTGAGTATGAGCATTCAAAAAAAAGACGGGAGTGAGATTCTTGATCAGCTCTGCAAAGTACACAAATAGTTCCAATGTTGAGTGAAAAACTATGGATATTGTCCTTTGTGGCCAGTCTACACCTTATACCAAGCCAAAGGATAAAATTGGCCTAAGGAATGCAAAGATTGAACCAAAGGAGATGGTACCACAATACCTCTGGTTTCTTGCTCCTAATTTGATTCCAAGCTGAAGAGGTAGAAAACTTGCCATGGACCTGTGGAATCCATTTGATCTCATCCTTTTTCTCAATTGTAGGGGAGTAATTGGGCATAGAATATATGATCTCATCAATAATTCTGGAGTTTCTAGGATTTGTTGAAGGCCACTTCCATTGATTTCCTTGGATAATGGAAACAACTTTAGCATTCTTAGTGATCCCAGAATCATAAATAACTCTAGGACCCCATTTAAGAAGGAGAGGACCGTTAGGATGCCAAAAATCATGCCAGAGAGATGTATTCCTACCATTGCCAATAACATAATGAAGGAAAGGTCTTGCTAATTCCCTAACTTGCAGCAGCTTCCTCCAGTTCCATGAACAGATCTGTGGAGTTTTGACTTTCCAAATGCTTTTGCCTCTAAGATGATGCTCATTGATCCAGCTGGTCCAAGTGTTGTTCTCATTAGAAATTAAGTGCCAAAGGTGCTTGAGCATAAGAGCTTTGTTTCAAGCCCTTAAATCTTTCAATTCTAAGCCCCCTTCCTTTATGGGTACACAAACCTATCTCCAAGCAACCTTGGCCCCCTTTGTTTTCATTTCAGTACCAGACTATAAAAATGATCTTAGTTTCTGATCAATAGCATGGAGAATCTTCTTAGGAAGCATAAGATGACTAGCCCAATAAACTTGAACGCTACATAACATAGATTTAATGAGCTGGGGTCTCCCAGCATAAGACAAAGCTCTATTAACCCAGGAGTTTATCCTTGAGTCCACTTTTTCAAGTAATAAAGAGCAGTCTTGCAACTTGAGCTTAGTGGTGATAATAGGGATCCTAAGATATTTCACAGGCAGACAACCAATAGAAAAACCGAAACACTCAACCATCAACTGTTGTTGCTCATCTTGAACACCTGAAAGGAAGATGTGGCTCTTGGAAGGATTAGCCTTTAAGCCAGATAACATTTGGAATTTATCCAGAGCCCGTCTAAGAACTTCAACTGATTTAGGGTCCCCATGACATAACATGATTAAATCATTTGCAAAGCAAAGATGGGAGATCTTTTCTCTTTTGCATCTCCAATGATATTTAAACTAAGGCTCATCATGAATGCCTTGCTTAAGAATTCTTGACAGCATATCCATCACAATGACAAATAAATAAGGAGACATTGGGTCACCTTGTCGAAGACCTCTGCCACTTGGGAAATACCCTGCCAATTCACCATTAACATTGATAGAAAACTTGGGAGTAGTAATGCATTCACTAATCCATTTGACCACAACTCTGGGGAGATTAAGAGTAGCAAGCACATCGAGCAAGAAATCCCAGTCAACCATGTCAAAAGCTTTCATTAAATCAACCTTGATAGCACACTTGGAGGGCCCATCATTCTTATGATAGTTCCTTAGCAATTCCTGGGCCAGAAGAATATTGTCCCCTATTCTCATTCCCATTATTTGTAGGAGTATTGTTTTAATTTTTATTCTATTAGTTATGAATTATGTTATTATTTAAACAAAATTGATTATGAATGTTAAAATCATGTATTGTGAATTAAAAAAAAATATTAAATATTGTCAATTGATATAATTTTTCAGATGTTTGAATTATTATGTTTCAGTAGTTATAACATAATTTTCGAGGCGTAACAATTTAATATGAAAATATATACTATGTATGTAAGTTGATGTTATAAAAAATATTAGCGGACTCATTTTATTCATTGTTTACTACAATGTTGTATTTTACTTTACATTTATATATGAACAAATATTTGTAACTAATTTATGAGTAACACCGTATCTTTAGGCACGGACAATTGCTAGTGTATATATATATATATATATATATATATATATATATATATATATATATATATATATAGCCAGGTGTTGATGTTATTGTTTTAGAGCTGTTGTTAACTCCTAATGCATGACATACACACATAACAATTACGTCTTACGGGCCCATATAGTGCTTTCTTCATACTACATGTTAACTGTTTCTTCTTAAAAACAACATATCCCGGTGGATAAACCATATATACTTCCTCCTAAAGGACATGGTGTTGAAAGGTATCCTTTACCTCCAACTGATATAAGGTCAATTAGAACTCACTGCAACATAAAGAGCTCTAAAATGTTAAATATGACTAACGAAAGAAAAAGTCTCAAAGTAATCTGCTTCATATGCCTAGGACTAGGTTTGGCCCTTGACAACCTATTGTTTTTTGAGTGCTCAGCAAAATTATGAATGATAGTTTATAGTATAGACTCAATGACAACTAATAATCTACTTACTAGAATAAGAGTGCGGTTCTATGTCTGTTTCTGATGAAAAGCATTCATTTATGTATCTGTAATGAGTTTCCATCTAGAAGGTGTTAAGGCTTGTTTGAATGAATTAGGAATAGACACAAAATACAATGATGATGCAAAATATCGAAAGATGAGGAAAGTCGATGAAAAGAGACAAGCGTTGAAATGGCCGGCATTGGACAACTAGGAGCACTTTGCTTAGCACAAACATTGAACAAAAGAAGGGGGCCAAATAGAAGTTTCTCCAGTGAATGTTCACACAGGCATGAGACAACCGAGCACTCTTTCAAGCAATAATCACTCACTAATAAGCCAAACAAGTAGAGGTTACTCTAAGTAATCTTTCCAAGCATTAGCACACCCCTTAGGTGAGAAGCAAAGCATAAAAAACTTCATATTTTAAAAAAATGATGAATTGAAAAATTAGAACCATTTCTTCCAAAAAAAATTCTAAAATAGAAAAACCTTTCCAAATGGCTTCAAAATATCAAACAATAATCATTATAAATTTAGCACGAGAAGAGAAGCATGAGCATGGGTTTTGGGTGTCGTAAAATGTGAACCAACAAACTAGTGATGAAGTCAGCGACTGTAACAGTATTGTATTCTCTCTTGTTACCTTCTGCTTCATTCTTGTAACATCTTTCCTTCGATCAATCTTCCATACAAGTTAAAACTTACACTAGTATAGTATTAGGATTTAGGAGAAAGAAAGCGAGGAAGAAAATTGTGAATGTAAAGATAACTTGTATCCCATTCCCACTTTGAATGATTAGGGATACCCAAGTTTGGTTTATGTACTTGAGGGGTCACTCGTGTTATTGTCAATTAATTTTGGGTTGGATGCTTTAACGTGGTATTAGAGATAGGTCTTGTGTGGTCAGTACGCTTAGCCTCTTAACCATTTGAGTTTCCTGATATGCATAATTTTAATTGTCTGTTTGTTTAGTAGCCCCATGTGTAAGCTGAGTCCCGCAGTAGGGAGGGTGTAAAGCAATCTTGTATCTCATATTGAATGATTAGAGCTGCCCAAGGTTGATTTGTATACTTGAGGGGTCACTCTATCCATAACCAATTGGTTTTGGGATGAATGTTCTACTAGTGAAAACAATGTATTGTGTAGGATGTTGATGGCCTATATTCATCACTTGTTTATATGAGAAGAGTATGAAGCTATTATAATATTTCTTTACACTAGAATATTGTAAGTTGTAACCAATAAATGGAAAAAATGGAAAAGAAGAACTCTAACTAAGTCCTCTATCTTGAAGATTGATTTGGTTAACCTTGCCAGGTCACCCTTGGGTTCAAGTTGATGGTGTGGCTCCAGACAAGCCTCTTGACTCTGCAGTTTTAAGTCGCCTGAAGCAATTTTCTGCCATGAACAAGCTCAAGAAAATGGCTCTTATAGTTAAGTTTTAGGATGTGCAATACATGCTCTTGAAAACTAGCATTCAGGCCATAAATCAAACATTGAAAACTATCTGTGCATTAGTGTAAGGGGTAGAACCCTCTACTAAGGATTTCGGCTTGACCTGGGTTAACCCACGCGGGCGACCCCCAGTAGCTTTTACCTCTCTTCGCCAGTAGGATCCTTTCCTAAGACAATCCCACATCGAAAGAGAGTCGTCTCCCTCCTGCCATATAAGTGAACACTTCCTATGGAGGAGGTACCCACTAGCTCAGGTGCCTAGTGGGTACCTCCTCCATAGGAAGTGTTCACTTATATGGCAGGGGGGAGACGACTCTCTTTCGATGTGGGATTGCCTTAGGAAATGGTCTTATTGGCGAAGAGAGGTAAAAGCTACTGGGGGTCGCCCGCGTGGGTTAACCCAGGTCAAGCCGAAATCCTTAGTAGAGGGTTCTACCCCTTACAATTAGCTTATTTAAAAAGAAATATACTCACAAAATTTAGGCTAAAACGTCTATTTGGTAATCATTGATCATAAGAAAATGCATTTCTTCTTGCAGGTCATTGCGGAGAGCCTATCTGAGGAAGAAATTGCTGGCCTGAAAGAAATGTTCAAGATGATGGACACAGACAACAGTGGTCAAATTACTTTCGAAGAACTCAAAGCCGGATTAAAGAAAGTTGGTGCTAATCTTAAGGAGTCTGAAATTTATGATCTAATGCAAGCAGTAAGTATCTGATCAAATGTAGATGTCATTCTTTTCAACTGCACTACACCAAAGGTTCCTGAGGTTGTGGGGCTGATATTATCTAAACAGTTAACCTCCAAATAAAAAGGGAAAAGAATCTATGTTCCAAGTTATGCAATAATATAAATTCAGAGATAATGGGAGAGATGGTTAAGTGAATTGTTGCCTAAATATCTCTTTCAGTTTTGTTTTATATGAAACTATTAATCATGTAGAATTATTAATTATTCAGTGATATTATCTAACCAGTTAATCCCCAAATAATAACAGAAAAGAATCTATGTTCCAAATTATGGAATAATATAAATTTAGAGAGAAAGGGAGATAGTTAAGTTACAAGTTTCCTAAATATCCAGTCAGTTTCTCTTTTGATTTTGGTTTATGTAAAAGTTCAATCAATGTTGCAGGACATTTTAGGTACAATTAGTGCTACATTCCTCAATCTCTCTACGAGTGTTTATCTTCTCAAACTTTTTTTACTCATACACAAGATAAACTAGAACTGGTAACAACAGAAACTGTTTTTGGTACTAATTAAAAGGAATGTTGCGAAGACAAGCATTCCATTATCTGTAAATCACTCATAAGAAAACATGAAGTTAAGAGATTTTGAAGAGTAGATGAGTATATAATAAACTGAACATCAATGTTTGTACAAAAAAGTTATCCAAGAACCTAACCTCAACTCGACTCAGCCTTGTTTGAATATTTTTGGAGTAAGCTACATGAATCCTCTTTTGCCATTGTGCTCCGTCAAGGGCTATGATTTCTATTAAACCGGAACTTATAATGTCTTTCTTTACTATTTCACTTAAAGTTAATTTTGACATATCCCTACCTTATGCTTATTTTCAATAGCTATCATATCACTTTCTCACTGGTGCCGTAGTAGGCCGTCTATAGATGTGTCCAAACCACCTAAGTTGATTCTTCCTTAATTTATCTCTCACCTCTACTTTTTCACAGATTATTTTGCTCATAATTCTATTCTTTCTAGTTTTGCCACACATCTATCTTAATATTCTCATTTCTGTGACGCTTAATTTGTGAACTTGTTGTATCTTTGTTGCCCAACACTCAGTACCATAAAGTATAGAGGGTCTTATGGCCCTTGTATAGAATTTTCCTTTTAGCTTAAGTGGTATGCGTTTGTTACTAAATACCTCGGATGCATTCCTCGATTTGGTACATCCTACAATGATTCTACAAGTAAGATCATCACCAATCTCACATTCTTTATGGATAATAGACCCTAAATATTTAAAATGTTCATTCTTTGGTATCTCTTGATCTTCAATTTTTACTACTTCACAATTTGAATTCCTCATTTTACTAAATTTACACTCCATATATTCAATTTTAGTCTAAATTATCCAAAATCCTTTTGATTCTTGAGTTTTTCTCTATAGTTCTAGTTTATTATTAATTTTTTGTTTACTTTCATCAGCTAATACAATATCATCCACAAATAACATATACCATGGTGGGTGCTCATCTTGAATATTTCAAGTCAATTCATTTATAATCAATGAAAAAAGATGTAGACTCTAAGTAGAACCCTGATGTAAGCCTATGGTGATTAAAAATTCATTAGTTTCTCTTGTCGTTGTTCTAGTTATTACAACATGAAAAAGTTATCCTAGAATCTCACGAAGGAAAAACTGTTTAGCATGGGGATGTTTTTCATGTAGTCGTAACTATAAAAAGTTGAGGGTGATTAAAGTTGATTCATTGTACTTTTGTCTTTCTTTTTCTATAATTGCATGTAGTTAATATCTAGCAGTACACCCGATAAAGGTAGATGAAACAGCTGCCATAAATGAAGCCATCAAGCAGGTTCTCTTTCTATCGCTTTAGATCATTTTTTAGGTAACTGTACTCAAATTTTCTGCCCACCCTTATGTGGAGGGAATTAAAAGGGCACATCAAGTCCTGTTCATAATCACAAGTTTTGAATTCTTGTCATTTTTTAGTTGTTACCTTAGCAATTCTATTTGATTTGACGAAATTGAAGATATGAAGGAGATTAATAGCTAGAAGCCACAAACATTTAAGGAGAAATGAAATATTTGTTGAGTTTTAGTAACATGAATTGCCAACTGATTGGATTACCTGCCCAAACCATGGGGGCAGTGTGGGGGAAGAGTGTAAATTGAATTTATTCTATTACAGTTCTTCATAGGTTATGCCAATCTGTCTAGTAAGGTTTGTCTCTCACCTGGATTATATGCATCGGACTATCATATCTAAACTGTTACATAATAACAACTACAGATAAGAAAGCTGGTATCCTTGTTCATGACTTATGAGCTATATGATGGTTGTGTTCTGTCGTACTTCATGCTAATGTTGTCATCTCTTTAGTTTTTATTAAAAGATATATGTTCTTGATCACAAACATTTCAAAAAATATGAATGCATATGACATGTGTTTGTTTTTTTAAATTGACCATCTGTTGAGATCATTTTGTGTAATGATCACATGTTCTATTTTTTAATAGGCCAGCACAAAAAGATAGTTATCATTAAATTGTAATATGTTCACTTCATTTTCTGCGATTGCAGGCAGATGTTGATAACAGTGGAACAATCGATTATGCGGAGTTCATAGCTGCAACAGTGCATCTAAACAAGGTTGAGAGAGAAGACCATCTGTTTTCAGCTTTCTCCTACTTTGATAAGGACGGAAGTGGTTATATCACCCCAGACGAACTTCAACAAGCCTGTGAGGAATTTGGCATAAAGGAAGCTCACCTAGAAGAAATGATTCGAGAAATTGACCAGGACAATGTAAGTTATTCTTTTCCATCATTTACCATTTTATGACTACATAAATGAAGGATTACACATAGTGGAAAAAGCCGCTCTCTTGCTCTCTTGCCTATTTAAGAATAGGAACAAAATCAGGACACAATTTCTAACCCTTGCCAAGTTGACTAGAGCTTGGCCAAGTTACTCAACCTAGTCGAGAGATGGTAAATTTGGTGCAACTTAAATTTAAAAATGACTTGATCAAATTATGAGACCATTTAGAAAAGAACAGAAAATCCATTCCTGATGGTGTGAAATAGTTTTCAGATGAGAAATCAAGTAGACATGCTAAATCTTCTTTCAATATACGTGCTAAATATTCTTTCAATATACGAAATATCTAGCAATTTGGGTATCACTGACGTAAGATACTGAGTTAACTTTTGAGTTTAATCAACATTATATTTTCCTTTTCTAGAGTGTTAAGTGAGGTTTAGAAATACATTTGAGTAAGCTCTGATATTCTAGCAAATAGTGAAAATTTGAAATTCATCACCGTTACCACCATTGATGTCCTTTGTGACCGTATCAAAATTACACTATAGTTGATGATTATGTTATCATGGTAGACAATCATGATGATTTGATACGTCACATGATTAGCTACTGGAATTTCTGATTATGTTTCTCACTCGAGTTTTCAGGATGGGAAAATCGATTACAATGAATTTGTATTCATGATGCAAAAAGGAAATCCAAGTGTAGGTGGTAAAAAAGACGTAGAGGATAGTTTCAACATTGATTTATGCAGGCACTAAAACTTTAGCACCACAGGCTTTGGTGAGACTTTCTTCTTTTATTTCTCTTTCCTTCTTCGTCATGGAATTTTTGTGATGTTCGGATTGTATAGAATAGAGCATCAATCATCTCACCATCAGCCTTGATCTTTTGATGTATTTTTTAAACCCATTCCAATTTCCATATTTTCACTACTGTTATGGCTGCATCCAGCTTTGTTATCTAGTATACTACATTGAGGAATATATCTAGTTTCAATTTTTTAATTATTTTTTTTATTTGTTTTCTTTTATTTGAGATGAGTAATTTGTTGAATTTAATTTATCAAATTAATATTTTTGAAATACTTTAAGACACTAAAAGCTCAAGATAACATAGTCTGTTGGATTTAATCTCTTTTTTACTTAGAATTGATTTGAGCCACAAAACACTTGAGATAAGTTAGGTAATTCAAAACGCTTTCTACTTTATTATATAAATTTTGTTTGATGCTTAAATATGATGAGCCCAGATTTAATTGGGTTAAGCCCAAATTAGCTACAAGGCAAGTCAATCCCAGTTCATGGATTCGGCTTAGTTCAAAGTTCAAGAAGTCCAGAAAGATTAGTGCACGTGAGGATTAATTATTGAGATAGCCACTCTTCAAGATCAAGACTATCTTTGATTATATCAATCCTTAGCTGGAGCTATCCACTCCGAAGGATTAGTTACCCCTCTACACCACCGCCTCAATCAAGGTTCTGTATCTATAGATTCGAGAATAATTGTCGATGCTCAATGGAGACTGAAGAGAATAGAAAAAAGTTGGCCCAGTGCATGTGGCTTTGTGCCTATGCAAGGTCTCTTCTGTCAGATGCACTCTAACCTTATCCTTATACTACAATTCAAATCCTTCAGGCTCATATTACAATGGAGTAACTCAATCTCAATCACAAAATTCTAAAAAAAATAGAACTTTAACTATTTTTTTATATATATTTTTATAGTTAGAACAAAGAATTTTTGGAACATAAAAGGTTTTCATAATCTTATAATAAAATCTTAGCAATGAAAAATTAAGTTTGACAAATTTATGTACCTAATACATTTTATCAATTTTTGTATACGAAAACTATTCACATGCAATGCACGTAGTGCATTATTAGTAAGTTATTCAAAGTCCCCATAATTATCTTTATTCACAACCAGTCATTTATCACCTCTATTTTCAATTGTCTGAACTAATTTCTCATCATGGATTACTATTAGCTCATCAAATTAATTGTCTACTCATCAAATACCACTTGTCTTTAGAATTCATCAATCATTTCAATAATGAGGAAAACTCCTAATCATTGCCATTTGTAATAGCTTGACTCCTAATTGCACACTCTCCATAATTCAATATTCTAGAATAAACTTCTAGATTGAACAGCTCCTGACATGTCTGGTCTTAAGTTGTACATAACCTAGTTCATCCAAGTTCCACCGGTGAGCCCGATAATATTTATCCTAGTCTCATCGATGTAACATCATAACCTTCTCTTGTCAATTCAGACACTAGCATTTAACCTAAGCAACATACCACCTAATTAGAAAATCGTACTATAGCTCTATAAACTCTCATTTTCATTTTGACAAATAATATCCCCCAATAGATTCCATTTTTGTATTTTCCAAACCTATGGAGAATTGTAAGTCTTGGTGGTGAGGTGGACACCACGATGTTCCTAGTAATCATAATCGTCAACTAAACACATAGTTCTCCAAGGAATCGATTTTCACTTTCCAATTATTTTTCTCACTTCATACGGGTGATGACAACTAACGCTTAACCCTAATAATATCAAATCTAATCAAATATTTTGTTGTGCACTCTGATACACATTATAATTCAAATTCAACACCCCAATTCAACATAGTTATAACTAGCAATAGATAAGAATTATCCAAAAGGTTTGAAGGGTTGGTGAAGATAGGTCGAATTCCACCAAAGTGCACAATTGAAACCTAACCATACATGTCTTCTAATTATTACTTTTAAAATGTATACACTAAAGATCCATTTTTTCCTTCTAAAGGGAATTTTAGTAAATAATCAAATATACTACTTGGCTTAAGGGTCAACTTATACCTAACCTTGAGCTACAATCAATAAACGATGTAATCAATCCTTAGTGGCTTTCATTAATCTCTTCATTATGTTAACGATACATATAATCTTCAATTTTCTTGATTCAATCTGGTACAAATAGATTTATTGTAATATACCCAAAAGTAAAGATAGACTACCAAGAAACCCAATAATATTTCTCAATTAAACACTACCAGATTTCTTATAACATAATCAAAACTAAAATAAGACTCCTAATTATTTAATTAATGTCATTCAACTTAACCACATTGGTCGTCATAACCTTCACAATCATTCATGATCCCTGATATCATAAGGATATGCTAGTTATTAGGATAACCTTGGCCATTTATCCCCAAAATTGTTTAAAATTTCTACATTCATGTTAAAGCCAATCGACATAGGTATCATCATTGATCCCTCAAATTACATTTTTCCAATCGTCATCACAACTAACCATAAAGATTTCATTTTCAAGGTTATAATGTTCACAATTCATAACAACGATCCTCCTGTCTATCTATTCAATCTATCTTAATGATGTATTAAGAGACACAACAAATTCTACACTATAAAACATAACACCAATCATATTAAGAGATCTCACACCCGATAAAGACACAAAACTTTGTGTATCATCCTTATCCCAATAATTGTTCTCTATATTTGACCCCAAGCTTTTGAATATCTTTAATCTTTAGTCCAATAATATTGAGTGTAAAGGATAACTGACAATAATTAATCAAGCTTTCTAGGTTTCCTTATCATATGTCTCTATATTCGTTTTCATACCTTGACCTTAATGTTTTGTGGATTGTAACCTTAATTTCTTACTTGTGTATTTTGTCACGAAATTGTCAAAGGGAGAGATTATTAGATCATATATTTATAATTGGATAATTTCAAATAATTTATTGTAAATCTCAACCTATTCCATGATCATAATGATACAACGATGCAGATCTAATAACAATATTAAAAGAAGGAGATCATGTGTCAAAACAACATCAAAAGCACTCCGAATGCACCTTAAAGCTAAAGACAAAGTTAATGACCTAGAGAACAAAGATGATCCCTTGATTTAATAGACTTAGGAGGATTAGAGTTAAATGAAATCAATATTAATTCGTGTATGGCTTCTAGGTGTTTTTTAACAAAAAGATTTTCTAAAATTGTTTTGTATTTTAAAAAACATCGTTTGACCCATTAGCAGACCCCTCTTGAGCAACACCCTTAATGTTCAAGAGGATAAGTTTTTTGCTTGATTTTAGGCTGAAAAAATTAGTAGGAACTGTCCTATGCTCGCTAGCATTTTTTAGAATGGTCTCTTTATGACTTAGGGAAGAAAATCAAAAATGCTAAATGGAGGAGATAATAACTCGTCATCTGGGGTCGCTTGAGTGGTCCCCATGCTCTCTCGAGTGGCTTGATCTCCAAGGTCATTTTGAAACAAGTTTTTCATTCCAATTGACTTGATTCAAAATGTGTACACTCAAGTGCAGGCAGTTAAGTTGTAGTTATAATCCGGTTAAGTCTGGAGTCTAATCCACATGAAACTTATGTTGGTGTTTGAAGTTAAGATCAATAAAGACAATGGTAAATGAAACCCTTGAAGTTGGAAGTTGTGATGGTGATAATATTTTCTAAACAAAATATAAGATTCTTTAAATGGAAATAAAAGTCAATATCTAGCTCGCGAATCTAGACATGTGCATATATGTTCGGGTGCAATATTTGTGCAGCATTAATTACTTAATTAACCCCCACATCAATACCAGTTAATCAAAAGATATAGATTGAATGTGTGGATTATGAGTATAACTGTAATGTCTTTGTAGAGGATCATAAGAATTACTTATTCTGAGACTTAACCCATCTATAAACAATCAAATAATTTTATAAAGCATCCATCAATAGTTAAACTATTCAATCATAAGTTAAAGCACAATGTAAGTGAAGATTGAAAGATTATCATGATGTCCTAGCTTAGGTATTTGCAGGGAATATTAGAATCACCTATGCCAAGACTTAACTTGTCTATAGATGATCTATGATTGTACAAAACACTTTAGATTTGCTAGATACATTCAATCATTCAACATATAAAAGAAGATAAAACAATAAGCATAAATGAAGTGCACATATATAACTTCCAAAGAATAATTTACATGTTCATCACTTTTTGCTAAAGAGTGAATGAGAAATCACTCACTCTTCATAGCTTTGAGGAAGCTACAAAAGTGAGTGAATTTCATTACTCTAAGTAGAGGAACTTAGAATTACAAAGATAAAATTACAAGAAACAAAAGACTTATCTTCAACAAAGAATGAGTGAAACACTACCCACGCTTCAAAGTTACAAGAAAGCTAAAAAGGTGAGAGAGGTCCTCTCCTCTAAGTGAAGGAGAAAGCTAATGAAGGTAATACTAAAAGTAGGAGAAAAATAGTTAATTTGGAGGGTTATTTTCATTTCCAAAGTTGGTCTTTTACTTCAAGATGATGGGGTATTTATAGGGGTGGAGAACACCAAAAATTTCAAATTTGAAGAGTCACGTTCTGTACGAGGCGTTCTAACCCTGGCTTGGGAGTTCGAACATTACAGCTTGCATTTAATGCTTAAGGATTCTTGTCTGAATGTTGCTGACTTTTGTAGAGGCGTTCAAATGCTAGGGGTAGGCATTCGAACGTTGCGCACCTAACATGGTTCCTTGTCTAATTTTTTCAGGATTTGTTTTTAACTTTTGATGAGGTGTTCAAATGCTAACTCCTTCTAGAAGGCTATCCTTTGGCCATTTCTTCTTCATGGCTTCATCTTTCATGGATTGATAAAGACTATTTTGCCCAACATTTCATGTTAATACTCCAATATGCCCCTTTTACTTAATTACTTATTATTTATTTACAAAT